AATGCTTATTCAGCAACGCTTGGACATTTTCATTCATGGGTTATTAGACAGACGTAAAACTATCTCATAGTATTTGCACAGATATATATTTCTTTTTCTTTAGGATACATGCTGCAATTACATTGACAGTTCCTAATCGTCAGACATTACTCAATAAATTACTAATTAATCGAAGTCACGATGAAATCGATACATTTTGCGTTGATATTGTACAATCGTGCAATAAAGTCGAAAGTATTACACAAGAACTGTATGAATTAAATGACTTAACTAAATTACCATAATCTATTTTTTTGTGTTCTGTTTTTAATATTCCATTTCATTCATAATTCCAAATCACAAAATGTTGATTGTGTGGATTGAACTTATGATGTCAGTAACGAATCTCATACATTGAAATAAATTTATTGACATGTATGCTTTCCACTTCATAAGTACTTTGAACTAGAATGTAAATTGTTGAATAGGATTTTCATTTTGACGTTGTTTTTTTTTGTCAACATTTGTGTACGACATAGCAGTCGAAAAATATTACAACTCAAGTAAAGATCATTTGGTTATCATTAATCGATATAAACGCGCCATTTAATTAGTGTTTCTCTCAAGTCACAACCGGTGTTATCAAGCGATTTAAGTACTTCTGTCATGATAATGATACACTAATGCTCTCTACTGAAAGTAAGGTAATGCGCTGAGCAGCTACAACGACCAAATGTTCGTTCCACAGAACGGAAGAAAATGTATATACAGTATAACCTCTCTATAGTGGGCACCAAAGGAACCATGAAAAAGTGTCCACTTTAGAGAGGTTTTTCAATTTTTTCGATGATTAGTTACTATTAAGGCTCAAAATTCTCGTTAGAGTGACTTTCTTGATATCATGCGACATAATAAACGTTTTTAGAATATTTCATTTCATGATTTATTCACAAAGAAATTTATATGCAACTAATTTTCAAAAATTAACCTATTCAATCACTTCATAAAACATAAATTATTGGACTAATCCGTAGAAAAAATAGATGGTTAAACTATCTTATTGCAAGATCAATTATTGAGCCGAACTTTTAACGTAATTGATTTGGTCATTGTTTAAGTTTCATGGATGCTTTTTGAAAAACTCCGTTATACAACTTTGTTTACACATTTTCAAATAAAGATAATGATCTTGTGGGTGTGGGTCTAGACAAAGTATTAGTACACCCACACCCACACCCTCAAGATAGTTAATTGGGCTGTAAGTAATTTTTTCGGACGACCAGATTTGGGTTTGTCAACAGCAGCACCAGAATCTTCATACTTCTTGATAATATAATATATCGTTCGACGTGGAACTTTCTCTTGTAAAAAATGATTCACGGCAATTTTCTTTTGTCTGTTCGTTACATTGATGTAATGTTGTACAATTCGAGTTTTTAAGCAATCTCTTTCAAAACGAGTCATATCTATAAAACAGAACAATTATATAATACGTTTTATATCAAATTAAAGCTCTTCAGATGCATTATTAGTTGATGCAAAAAAAACTAGAAAAACAACCAGCCCTGTATGAGAAACCTGAATAAAAACTTTGTGCAAAGACATTTTACACGCAGGTTAGAAAAAAGAGAAAACAGTTCACAAATCTTATTCGATAGAAAATCGTTGAACACGAGCATTATCAAAATCGGCGACATAGAGATTACCATGTCGATCGAAAGATAAACCGAAGGGAAATTTGAACTGATTTTCTCCATCTCCTGAAACAGTTCCACCCACAATTACAGTGCCGTTTTTTGCTCCTTGAGTCCAACTCATTACACGCTGATTCCACGAGTCTGAGACATAGAGTGTACCAAATGTATCAACGAAAAGTCCATTAGGATGAGACAATTGTGTCGGATTATTCCCTGCGCCTTGCCCTCCAGCAACCACAATACCTTCTTTTGCACCTTTAGTCCATTTCATTACACGATGATTGTTGTTGTCTGATACGTACACTTTCTGTTGTTGATCGACAAAGAAATATCTCGGCTGGTCGAGTTGATTGTTATCTTTACCGTCACCATTACCACCAGCTACGAGAGTACCACTCGTCTCACCCAATTGATATCGCCGTACTTCATGTTTTTCGGTGTCAGAGACGTAGAGACATTTCTGCTCATCCATATCCAATCCCCAACAATCGGTGTTTTCGATGAGTATTTCTCCTTGTGTTGTGTCACTACGACGAGACCATCGTACAACTCGTTGATTCCCTCGATCACAAATAATGAGACTATCTGTCTCTTTGTCAATTAATACATCAGTTGGACCATTCAATTGATACAATCCATTTCCTACGTCATTACCACCAGCAACTACTTCTCCGTTCGTTGTATCACCTTTCTTCCATTGCATGATACGATGATTCAAGCAGTCAGCAATAACCACTGTTTGGTCATCATCAACGAAGAGACCTTGAGGGTGATAGAGTTGATTTGTGGCACTCCCAACCTCGTGACCTCCAGCAATAGTCACTCCGTTTTGTGTCCATTTAGCATTAGCAGGAATAGTAACTAGAAGAGAGAACGTAAAATCAAAGGAGATCTCTCTCTCTCTCTCTCTCTCTCGAGTATAGAGAGAGTATATGAAATAATTTCGAAAGTATCTAGCAAATTTCTTTGAATACATCATTCTTTTAGAAATTGAAGAAAATTATCTTATGTCGATGATAAGTCTATATAAGGAGAAAACTCGAGATAAATGAATGAAAAAGTTATATTAAGAAATTCTTCGATAGGATTACACTTAATCTGTAGTAATTATATGTGATCAATCACCATATAACATATCGTTCTCTCAAGCGTATTTAAATTCTATATTTTATAGAAAATCAAACGTAAATAATTATGTAGGAACGTCATGGTAAATAATATTTTTAATTCAATTTCTAATAAATGAATCAGTTGCCTAGCCAGGGGGTGGCCATTGGGCAATTGCCCAATAAATTTTTCAGACAATAGCAATTGCCCAACACCGAAAAATATTGATATACATGCATGTTTAAAAACTTAGATGATGTTATTTTAACACTGATTGCTGTTAAAATATATTCAATTGGTCGAGAAAAATCAATTGACGATATTTTCCACCGATGCAATAATCAAAATAATGACAATTCCATCGTATTTTAACCTGAAAGAAACTTATACCCTCACTTAAAGTTGTTAATAAAGATATAAGTGCATATTTATGAATCTTTCGAGAGAACATAGAATTCATTCGAACGCAAACGACAGACGTAGCTTAAACCGAATACTTGAACGGTATAAGTGTGGACAATACTTTCACCATTTGATTAATAAAAATTCCAATTCGCAAAAGAAGATTTTAATGAGTGCCGTTTGAAAATTTCACTTAGTAATTATTAGTAATAGTAATGGAATGATAATATATGGTTCAGAGGATTTACAGATAACTAAAACGAGCAGCAGTCATCATTATGTGGTGAGAGATGATAGAGTGAGTTGATGTTCTTTTCGTTCTATTTATGATTAATCATGATTTTTACTGTAGAAATATAAATAGATAGTTATTTGGAAATAAAGGATTAATTTATGAAAAAGAGAACATTAGCAAACACGGTCATCTCTAATCGAGTAGTGACAAATTTTCTTAAAACAACATAGATTTGGAGGTAGCAATAAACTTTTGACAACCTCCAGTTGCGGCCCAACTGATTTTCAATTGCCCAATACCGCCCATGTCTCAAAATAATTTAACTGGGAAGCAGCCCATCACTCAAAGAATCCTGGCTACGCCACTGTATCATCAGTCAAAAAAAAACAAATTACGTAGTACAGAATATTAACATTTTTTTTTCGCAAGCTTTTTTCTTTTCTCCAATTCAAGATGTTTTCGAAGTGCTCTTTCCTCGTAATATAGTTTTTGTATTTTCTCTCACACTATCAGATATTTTGGAGAATCAATCGATTTTCCATAAATTTTGACCAACAATAATCGAGTTCATCGAGTCGAATGACATAATGATATTCTTCAAAATAGTCTTACTAATTTCTTTTTGTTAGATGGACAAATCATTGTAACACAGTGCAAATATTCCGGAACATTTTGAAAATATTATATTGAGAATTTTCATGGACTGTGATCGATTCACAGGCTATGGAAACTAAGAGGAGAGTATCTCTTACTTCTGAAAGTTTTAGTTGAAGTTTTCTTCCAATATAAGATAATTTCATCGTAAGTTTTTCAAAAGTCGTAAGAACTTTATTTTTTTTCAGTATAATAGTACTTAGCTGCAGTTCTCTTCGAGTCTGGAGAAAAGTTGTCTTCAAAAGTGAAGACATGGAGCAAATCAATTTTTTCGCTTTTGTAGATATCTAGGCTACAAATATTTTGCTGTTTTGGCTACACACTAAAACCTCCGTTGCGCTCCAAGCTAAAGGAACTAGTTGTCTTTTGTTTAGTGAATTTGGAAGTTTGTGGTTGTATCTTTCTTCAATTTGTAAATATTTGATCTAATGCGAACGACTATTTCATTGATAATGTAGCAATAGAGTTGATCAAAAATCCATAATTTTTTACAACAAATTGAGGATTTCTAACAATAACTTGCATTTTTGGTGACAACTTCATAATGATTTAATTAACTTTCTCGAGTAGTCACGAGCACTTTAGCGTATTCAGCGATAATCAATGGAATCAAAAGGATTTGGAAAAATATTCTGATTTTTGAGAGAAATGATCTCGTAACTTATAATATGACTCATAAAATCTTCAGTAATCAAATGAGTTCGTCTGTTTCCAAAAGTTTTCTAGTGTCTTATCATGACATCATCGATGGATATCATAATCATGTTTAATTACTATTCACGTGAGCATGTCAATAAAGCAAACCTAATTTTAATTATGACGAAAATAGTTAAATTATATGAAAATTGAGAGACCTTCAGTTTTTCTTTTGCTGACCATCAAATTACTCGTGATATAAAATAACTAAGTTCATCAAGTTAAAATTTAGGTACCCACATAATGACATGCCATAAAAATAACCACAGGTGTTCGATTCGAAATAAGACTTGAGGACGATTGAGAATAATGAACTAAAACGCTTACCTCTTCCCTGGGTAGTCGTTGTAGTTGTTGTTGTTGTTCTAGTTGTCGTTGTAGTTGTCGTTGTAGTTGTAGTTGTAGTTGTAGTTGTTGTTGTAGTTGTAGCTGTGGCC